TGTGTAGGAAAAACATATCTTCAACGTTTCATCTATTTTAGCTGGTAAGTTGCTCAGTAACGGAAGGTTCAGTTTTCTATAAAATTTCTACATTGTTATAGCGAGTTATAGCGAAACAAATTAAAATAATTCTCACTTCCAGCTTTATTTTTTACGACAGAAAAGGTAACAGTAATCTGTTAAAAACTAACTTTTCTCTAGCTTTCACTAAAATCTGATATATGGTATGATCACGATGAGGTTTTACCCTTGTCAAAAGCTCCCAGGTCACCACCCCAAAGCTCCAGATATCGATCTAAAAACCAGTAGCGTTGGAATAAGGAAAAATTTTTTAGTAAAACATTGTCTTACGTATTGAGAAAACACAAAGAAAAAAATAATTTACAGTAACTTATTATGTACACACCATATTAGAGCATTTAAATCCTAATAAAGATTCGGAAGCCGTGTAACGTTAAGTACCACACTCTGTCATATCTTTGCTTTTTGATTTTGTCCATTCTCTAGCAATGCCAAAATCACATATTTTTATGGAATCTTCTTTGTTGAGAAGGATACTAAAATGCTGTTTGTTTAAATGAGCAAAAAAGCAACCGACTAGATGATAAATGAAGTGAGTTTTACTTGTCAGGTTTCAGGTCTCGGTGAATAATCTTCTTTGAATGCAAGTAATTCATTCCATCAACGACTTGTGTAGTCCAATTGCAAAAGTCTTCTTTTGGAATTTTATGACTACTGTGAATCCGTGAGCTCAATGATCCGTATTCGCAATATTCCATTAGCACGTAGCTAAAACCTTTGTTCTCAGAAAAGCCTCTGAAAAATGACTTGTGACAGCAAAAAAGTTAGTGCTACACTTGAATTAAACTCGCAACTTCTTGAGTTTTTATTAAGTTTCTGTTTTTGACAGATAATTTGTTACTAAAACGTTAAATTTAGATCGAATAGTGTGTATTGCTCACAGAAATTGGACCAAATTTTGATGGCGTATTAATGGCAATTTGAAAATCGTCGTCTTTTCTTTATCAGATATTTTTTGCACGACGACTGTCCTTCCTTGATATTCACCTTTACAAACCACACCTTGAGCACCTACGCCAACTTGTTCAAACATCAAAATCGAGGCATAGGGCACCTCTTGCTTGCCTAAAATTTCATTAACTAATTATTTTTCAAAAAGAAAAAGTTTGCAACAAAGCATGTTTTGCTTTTCTATAAAATCAAATTCAAAATTGGTTGAAAAATGACGTTAACCTTTTACGTAATGTATCAGCAGAGAAATTCTGCAAATACAATAGTTTAGACTTTTCTGAGCAGCAGCTATGATTTTATTTGAAAAATTCATAAGCCATTTTCTGTTCAATCAAACATTTCTTTCGTCTGATATTTCAAAACTTTCTTCTAAAAATTTTTTTGACATAAAGATAGATCTCGAATATGTGTCTGCTAAATCAGAAAAGTTTGATTTAGGGGGATACCAGTTTTTGGGAGATGAATGCAAATTAAATAATTACTACTAAAGACTCAGAAAAATTGTGCTTGAAAAGTTACAAGCGATTACAGCAATGTTTCTCATTTCAAAAAGCACAAGAAACTTTTTATGTTTGTAACCTAATAAAATTTTAGCTATAAAAGTTGCAGTTGTCTATTACTAGTAAAAAAGGATGTAATCTGTTCACCTTATGCTCATGAATAACACCAGTTAAAGTTTTTGCTATAGGCGACTTTAATAGACAAAATTTTTGGTTTGGCATATAAAAAATTAGGAAACTTTTATCCAGTTTCAAATTTTAGACGGTTTAGAAGTAAAAAATTTTGATAGAATAATTGCTGTTAAACAAAGAAAAAGAACAGATGACAGTATAGATGAGTTATTTAAAACAGTATCGTTTGAAGTATCAGTATCGAAAGGCATAAAATAAGTGTACAAAAACTAGAGGTTCAAAAGGTTTTACTCTTTTTGTTTCTCATAATTTGGGTTTCAGAAATATAACTTTTATAATTTTTATTAACTATATAACAAACCTGTTTAGAAAATTTTTATCTAAAAATTTAAAAAATAACTTTTCAAAAACTTGTTTGTCATATGACATTTTATCTTTGCTGTGACTGTTGAGGTTCTTGTGAGAAAGCTTTAGATTTTTTGAGCAGCAAATCTGTTCACTTAGCATGAAGTTACTGTTCTAAAACTGCAGCATTACTCTTCATTAACCTTATACTAACTCGCGAC